ACACAAGCCTTATAGTGCTTACTTTGGGGCTAGGGTAATAATTAAAGGAAGTGGCGCAGAGAAGGTCAGCGTCAGCGCTGAGTAACCAGACTTGTAGTGCAGGTAAAAATGTCTTTAATTACCTAATAGTTTTCTTATATTCAAATACTCTGTCTAAGAGTCAGTTATACATATTATCAAAAATAATAGACTGTAATAACTTCGAAGTCTGGTCAGGAATTGGCGAAGAGAAGGTCAGCGCCAACGCTGAGTAACCAGACTTGTAGTGCAGGTAAAAATGTCTTTAATTACCTATAATTTTTCTTATATTCCAATACTCTATCTAAGAGTCAGTTATATTATCAAAAAAATGGGTGCGTGTACTTATGTAGGCGCGTGAGAAGTTATCCTTCTTTGGCATCGTTTAAAATTAGTTTTTAATTGCATGCAAATAATTAATTACAATAAATTAATAAAAAGTCTGGAAAAGGACACAGTCAATAAAGTTCAGTTTTAATTTGAAAAAATAAATAAATAATCAAAATATTCAATTAAAATCGCTAAAGAATATAATTTATTAGAACATAATATGTGATTTGCACTTGTATGAAAGTCAAACACGTATTCCGAATATACAAACTAGAAACATGTGGATAAATATTATAAATATGAATACCTATAACTGTTACTTTATTACAATAATAACATAAAAGTAACATTGAAAAATAAAGATGTGGTTTTTGGTTCTACTACACCAATGGTCAAGAGATGGCGCTGTAGTCTCCTGAATCGCGCTTTGGTTCCGTTGTTCCAGCACTCTCATAATTTTTTCATAACGCGCCTAAAGAAGTATAACTTCAAAAATAATGGACTGCAACAAGTTCGAAGTCTGGTCAGGAAGTGGCGAAGAGGTCAGCGTCAGGGCTGAGTAACCAGGCTTGTAGTGCAGATGAAAATGTCTTTATTAACACGCTTTTATTAGGTTCACTTGCATGTAACTAACTATGTAATGGAATCTAAGAATTTGAATTACACAAACTTCTAATACTTGTATCATCATGAAACTTGGCAATTTTAAGTAGATGACATGACAATACAATATTATGGTACCATCCAGCTGGTCTGATGATGGAACTGGTAGGTGGCTGATGGAACCTTGGACTGCCTACTAGTAAACATATCGAGTTTGGGCTCATTAGATTCGCCTTTACATATTCTATTCATTTCTCCTGATGACGATGGACTAGAAGGTAGCTGATGGAACCTTGGACTGCCTACTAGTAAACATATCGAGTTTGGGCTCATTAGATTCGCCTTAACATATTCTATTCATTTCTCCTGATGACGATGGGACAGGAAGGTGGCTGATGGAACCTTGGGCTGCCTACTAGTAAACATATCGAGTTTGGCCTCATTAGATTCGCCTTAACATATTCTATTCATTTCTCCTGATGACGATGGACTGGAAGGTGGTTGATGGAACCTTGGACTGCCTACTAGTAAACATATCGAGTTTGGCCTCATTAGATTCGCCTTAACATATTATGTTTTTTTAAACACGCTTTTATTTATTAACACGCTTTTATTAGGTAATGGAATCCAAGGTTACTAATTTAACCATATTTTTAAGGAGCGTAGCATAATGAAAATTAGCCTTGAAATTACGCCTTGAACGAATTCAAAAAAGATTTCTGTGGCATTTAATTTATTCTGTAGGCCAAGCCAAAAAAATCAAGTCATATATGGATAGACTGCGCTTTTTCAAAATTACCTCTCTGGCAAAACGGAGGTCTCTAATGGATGCTAAATTTTTAAGTAATATCTTGAGGAATAAGATTCAATGTCCACAGTTGTTAAATCTTGTCAATTTGCGCGTTCCTTCTAGAATGCCTCGGAAGCCAATCACGCCACTCTGTCCTCCTTTAAGAAGAACTGTTTTAGGCGCTAACTCGCCTTATGCGAGATTTTGTAAAATTTTGAACGGTTTTAGTCATAAAATTGATTTACACTTTGATAGTCCCAGTACAATAACATCAGCCATTAGTAGGAACTTGACGGACTGAGTGCCCGAGAAGTTTATTTTTAATTTTGGATCCTTTGTTTTTGTAATGACCCTTCTTTGGACAAAATAACATTTAAGTTAAGGTATATTAGGTAAAATTTTAACACAAACTGTTTGATATAGATATGGTATATGTGGTGTTTACCTATAATTATTTGTAACACTGATATAAGTGTCTTCGTGTGTATATTTGTAATTGCTTAAGTGTTACAATTGTTGGTAAGCCTTTTAATAAATAAAAAAAAAATATATAATAATATGGTAATGTCGAATTGATATGATGATGGAGCCAGTAGATATGAACTGGAACTTCGTGATGGAACGTCGTATCATAGTTGCTTTTGGATTTCTTAGAAAAATCTGGTAATGAACTTTGATCATGATTAGATTTCAGGGTCTGATGATGAAGCCGGAAGATAGGCACTGGCATTCCATGATGGAATATAGTATCATAGACGTGTTTGCACTTGTGAGAAAGGCCACGTAATGGACTTTGAACACGATCAGGTTTCAAGGTATAACAAACCTATTATACAGGGTGGCCGGGGAGTTGACGTTCAAGCGTAAAATTTAGATACCTTATGATGAGGAGTAGGAGCTCGATGGCGCAACTGGTTAGCGCGTTCGGCTGCGATCGTTGAAGTTAAGCAACTTTCGCAGTGGTCGGTCATTGGATGGGTGACCAAAAATTTATTATCTCGAGCTCCTCCGTGCTTCGGAAGGTACGTTAAGCTATTGGTCCCGGTTGCATCTGCAGTCGTTAGCACCCACCAATCCGCACTGGGCCCGCGTGGTGGGTCATGGCCCAATCTCCCTATTCCATCCATAGGGAAGGCCTGTGCCCCAGCAGTGGGGACATTAATAGGCTGATGATGATGATGAGGAGTATCCAAATCACCCCCATGTATGTTCTACGATTTTGCGTAGTTTTCGAGTTTAACATATTTTTAATGATTTTTTTCGTAATTTTCACCTAACATCAGTTTTCGATTTTTTTCTCATTCTGTTGGACGTTTCTGGTTCAGTTTTTTTGTGATAATTGACTAACATAGTCTAACCTAGCACTCTAAAACTTATGGTTTATCTAGGCATTGAAGAATTCACTTAGAATTTGTTCGAAAGTTCAAAATTACGATTTGAGCTCAGTACACACAAATTTTCAAAGTATCAAAAAAAATATAAATGGGGGGATTTGGAGTTGAAAGTGCTTTTAGAAACTTCCTGAGACATTAAACTTAAAAACAAGTCCAAATAAAGATAGGATTAAGGGGGGTTTATTTTCTGTAACTGACCTTCAAAGTAAATTAAGGCATTTTCAAAGGAAAAAAGAAATTATTTTATTTAAATCTTTGACTTTCTATGAGTTATGATGGATTTGAGTAAAACGCAGTTAATTGTTAAGAAAATACATTTATTTAAAGCAAATTTTCAAAATTTCGCCCTCCCACAGAAATACACAATCCACATCTGCGCAAAAAATTATGTTTTAGGCTACTGGCTACCAAACCATACATGATACATACATAAAATTACTGCGAATGCAAAGGTAGAACACGATAGCCAGGGAGGGGGGGCATACTCATAGTTAGCCTAGAGCGGTAAGAACTCTAAATCAGGCACTGCTGATAAGGGTGATGATGAGTCGAGTAGGTTCATTTATTTTAGGAACCAAGGTACATTATGATAATGGTGTGATGTTCCTATCCTTACATGGGATACTTATTTTCGACAGGACTACTACACTCCACTCCATGGCTCCACCTGATTGAGTCCAAAGGTCCAAGAACGATTTTATTGTTAAACTCTTTATTGCATCATATAGTTCAAAACAGAAAGTCAAATACATAGTTAGCAAAGGTGGGACTATCTCTAGAAGATGTCTTCCAGCCAACCTAGATGGTGTTGGAGATTCCAAACTTGCCGGAAACAGAAAGTGCAATAAAAATTAAACTAAATTCATGCTTATTTGAAAAACTTACTATCAAGGCTGCAGTGTTTTCTGCTGGGACCAAAGTTATCTTTGAGTTGTCTTTAAACTGCGGCCCAAGCACGAATTTTGACAGCTCCATAATTTGGTTCCATTTAACTTTGATCCCAGCGTGGTATATACTCTAAAGTCCCAGCAGAAAACACTGCAGCCTAGATAGTTAGTTTTTTAGATAAATTGTTTAAAAATACCACTGCTTTTCTTCAAGAACCAAAGTTTTGACAAAGACATTAAGCACAGATAATATTATTTAATATGAAATATTTTTCTGTTTTGAGCAACTGACCATGAGTATTAAAATGTTTTAGTTTTAAATAAACAATGACTAAAAATCTTAAAATTAAGAAATGATAGAACATACTCTGTAAATGTTCATTTTATTCAATTATTGTTCGATTGGTACACCGGTAGGATACGGTAATGTTGGACAACGTGTACCAGTGTTGCAAGCAAATAAAAATACACAAAAGCTAGAAGTATTTAAAAACAATACGGCTTTTTGGGAATAAGAATATGAATACTACTGATAAATTGACAATATATTATTTGTTTTATTTAAAGCTTTTAACATGTATTTATTTTCTTTATAAACAGAAATTTAGAAAAAAATAATAACTTCATTTAACGGAATCTGTTAAGGTAAGCTGTTAACTAGCCTAAATACAAAAGCTCGAGTGTTTAATTTTTTTTTGATGTTATTAAATCAATCTCTGAATGAATATAAGTTCAACTGGACCTTTCCCCCTAGGAAATTTTCCTAGCTACGTCAATACACGTCCTTAAACATAAAAAGTTTTTTTCGTTGATATACAAAAATTTAGATTTTGCATTACAACTCATTTTTATTACAACAGCTGTTTAAAATTTTCAAATTAAGGGAAATTAATCCAACATAATCGATAAATCTTCTTTTTTGACCACGCCTGGGTTAAGGTTGTAGTATATTAAATAATTGTGTTATGGCAACATATTAAAAAAGAAAGTGAGGTGAAAGAAATGAATTTACGAGAATAGGTCGCAAGTTGCATAGATTTTTGGTTGATTTCCTTTTCACTTTGCTTTCGTATTCTCCATAACATCTAATAAACTGAAGTTAATTTGTGTTTTTGATCATATTTTGATTCAACGCATTAGGTGCCGTGGCACCGAAAACAGGCTAAGTACAAGAGTGAACAGCATCTTATTGATTTTCTTACCTTGCTGCTTTCAACCAACGCGAAGTGGTGTTAAAATTTAAACCGAAGAATCTATGATCTAATTGGAATCTATTACAATTGAAACAATAATCCACATATCTATTGATATTTTACCTAATTCGGTGATAGCATAAAATAAACGAAAATGATGGCTAATTCACTTGACACAGTAAATGCGAACCAGCCTACGCAAAATGGTAGCAAGGTTCAGCCTAGCAATAATGAATCGAAGACTAACCTTATAGTTAACTACTTACCACAAACGATGACCCAGGAGGAGATACGGTCGCTGTTTTCAAGCGTCGGCGAAGTAGAAAGTTGCAAGCTGATTAGAGATAAAGTGACGGTGTTTCCTGATCATATCCTCAACGGGCAGAGCTTGGGCTACGCTTTCGTCAATTACCACAAAGCAGAGGACGCCGAGAAAGCAGTTAACACGCTGAACGGATTGAGGTTGCAGAACAAAATCATTAAAGTGTCGTACGCCCGGCCCAGTTCCGATGCAATCAAAGGCGCTAACCTATACGTGTCTGGTCTCCCGAAGCACATGACACAGCAGGAGTTAGAAAAGCTCTTCAGCCCGTTCGGGACAATCATCAGTTCACGCATACTTCATGAGAATGTGAATGTTGGTCACTTGCTACAAGTGGGAGGAGAAGATCAATCTCTACAAGGTCCCTCCAGAGGTGTTGCATTCATCCGCTACGATCAACGGTGCGAAGCAGAGGCAGCTATACGTGAGTTGAATGGTACTATACCACCAGGCGGTACAGGTCCTATAACAGTGAAGTGTGCTAACAATCCCAGCAACCAAAACAAGGCACTGGCACCATTAGCAGCATACTTGGCACCGACAGCTGGACGGCGCTTTGTTGGACCAGCTGGAAAAGCTCTTCTGGCCATCAACAAAGGGCTCCAGAGATTTTCTCCTTTAGCTGACCCTCTTATCCAAGGTAATGCATTAGGTGGTTCAGGCTGGTGTATCTTTGTCTATAACATTGGAGCTGATACTGAAGAAAGCATTCTTTGGCAGCTCTTTGGCCCATTCGGTGCCGTCCAAAGTGTTAAAATTATAAGAGATCCCACAACCAACAAATGCAAAGGTTATGGTTTTGTAACTATGACCAATTACGATGAAGCTGTTGTTGCAATTCAATCTTTGAATGGATACTCGCTGAACGGTCAGGTCTTGCAGGTCAGCTTCAAAACGAACAAGAGTAAATCTTAAGTTAATAAAAATCTAGTCAATAAATTTATAGCTAATATAAAAAAAATGTTGATCATTAAGCTGTCATGGTATTGCATCAATATTGATCAATCTTAGAACTGAGTAGTGAATATAACTGATGCAAATCATGACATAGAAACAGTTTGAACCAATGCGTTTGAACCATCAAGCAAGTACAAAGTAATCAGAATTTGTCATTGTTGCTACCCAACTCATGAACATCTCAATATTTTAAAACCCTATTGCTGACCATGTGATAAAATCATTTGAATTTTGCAGTAATTAAAAGCAACCGTGATAATGATCTGTGAACAACTTGTGTCAGAACTTTGCAATATTAACATTGGCCTGTGTAGAGGCTAGCCTAATGTGGGTATTTTAGTATTACAATGACATCACATAGGTAATTACAATTTGCAGAAACTGCCAACTCCATGTTTCCACATGCATTTTATTATAATGTTGAAAAGCTCTTCTGAAATATAGGTACTAAGGCATTTCTACTTTACCTTATTATATACAAATACAACATAATGCATTACAGACATAATTTTTTTATACAAACCGACAAGAACCATAGTAAAAAGTTATGATCATATTAATATGGATTTATGTTAAGTGAAACGTAACATATGAACATTCATACAATCTTATATTTATTTTCCATTCTTATTGAGAGGAATCATATGAAAATACAGAATAAGGTAACTATCTGTTGATTTAAACATAGACTATTGTAATTTGTATTTTTATAAGATTAGTATAAAATCTCAACAATGCCAATATGAGTCTAGTAGTAATGCAGGCAATCAGAATGAATCTTATGACAGTGCAATATTATACTGTTTACTTAAAGTAAAGGTATATATAAACAATACTTAAGTATTTAATATAAAAGCCTGTGCAATTATTCCCAACCTATGGCATCTTTTTAGGTGTTGCAATAATAGAAACACATATTTATTTTCTCAAATTGTTTTTCACCTACCAAAGATTACAGAAACGAAATTATGACTGAATAATAAATCACTTACTTAGTAAGCGAAGACTTTTCATAAATATGTTAATCTTACATTTCCATAGGTACATGTTTTCATTTAAAAAAAAATGATGAAATAATGATTTATTCTCATCAATCAAATTTTGATGAGTTTTGACAAAATAATTCCAATAATGACAAAATGCACAAAGATGTTATAATTAAATAATTAATATATATTAGAACATAATTTAATCATTTTATATTAAATATTCATGTTGTAATGTCTCATCCATGTTATTTATTTCTCATTACTAATATAAAATATTGATAAGAGAATTCAATGTTTGTATTTGCAACATAGAAATTTTAATCAAAATTATGAAGTGTAAGGACCATGACATAACAACTAATTAGTTATTGATCAACATTTTATTCAACTAAATTTTGTAATTGTGTCTGGATACATGTATCTGATATATTATGATATGACTAGTGTATTAAGTGAAAGTCAAATTGATGCTTTTGGAGGTTCATCATAAAAATTAAGGTGATCCTCTTAAATAATTAAACCATAGGTATATGAGTCACCAATGATTTTGTATGAAACAGTAATAAAGCACATTTTTTATGTCAACTATAGGGGCAGTTTGACTTTCACAACATGATATTGTCTCTCTAATTATTAATTTGTAATCATATCTATATTTATTATTAAATTTAAGTAATTTTTCAATTCACTGTAATTTATTATAATCATAATAGATATATAGATTTCATTTGATGTTATATTAATATATTGAACGTTTAGTGTAAGTTCAAAATTAGTTGGATCATAAACATTGTCTTACTCATTAATGAACATTTTATATACCTACCTAACTCATGATTTGTATTATTCCAGATATTTAGTAGGTTGTGTATCTACATTCATAGCTAAATATTCATAGATAAATGCATATCATGAACATACAATGTGGTAAGACTCTGAACAGGAGAACTTGTATGATGCATTTTTGAATAAGTACCTATGTTTAATTTCTATGATACTGATAAGGATAAATAATATGTTTCGTTAAGATTAATAATTATTATTTATTAAAAGTACTTAACTTTGCAAAACTAGTCAGTTATAATTTTGCGCAAGATTAAACTTTTAAGTAGATACTACACTTAGGTATTTATAAAACTGTGTTCTCTGATTTAAACATAGACATTTAGAACTTTTGAGTTTAAATTATGTTGGTGTGGTGTTCCGTTATTAACATAAATAAATGTGATGTACCATTTGTATAGTACACAATACCTACATAACAAATAACGATGGTGTGTATTAAAACTAGTCAATGGGTTAACATTTTTACCTCAGCAAGATAGCTCTGAATTTCTGTCTGTATCTGTCTGGACTGTTTGAATCTTAGCTTAACTATGGGCTTGATTCTGGCATGGTTCTCTAAACCTGAAACTGAATTTGATTTTGACGCAGGAGAGTCTACTGCTGTTGAATCTAGTTTTAAAGTTAGGGAATTATGACTGAATAAGGCCCAATACCTACCTACGATACAAGGTGCTAATTTATAGTCAGGTCCTTTGCTCATTCCTAAGATACTCGTTCCATTGCAATACATTGCTCATCAGAATTATTTCTTCCTTTAAATTGAATCTTTGTACTATATTCTACTTCTAAAGGCGTTTATGGGAGTACAGACCAGTAGAGCCTCGACCAAGTCGTTAACGCCATTCTCACCGCGTCTCTATTTGTAACACCTTGTTTCCATGAGTTGTGTTTTGTATGACCACCTTAGGCACTAATGATACATCATATTGTGGTCTTAGTTTTACTGATCTGAAACTCAGTGTCCTAATAATGCGTAAGACGTGATAACGATATAGGCACGCAATATTCAGAGCATCCTGATACTTTGTGTTGTGTCGTCCCAGAAGCATAAGCGATCCTCCACCAAACAGAATTTGACGCCAATACACACCTGTCCCCTTTTAGTTGTTTTGTTTGCATTAGATTTTGTGTTCTGAGATGTGGTATTTTGTGTTAACTTCAGTTAATTTTTAAAAACTAACATTTCGAATCTTTCGTGTTTACTTATTTAACCACATTTAACGATTTGATTTTAATTATTATTACTTATATATTTTTTTGTTTGTTTTACTTTTGGGCAGGTTTGGGTATTGTAAGGGTTTGGCCTAGGATGTAGCTAGAAATATTTAAGACAGAGTACAAATCGCCGATATATTGTATGAAGAAATGTTTGGCTTACTTACATTTAATTTTTTAAATAATGTCAACGAATGTAATCTGGTAGGGAATATTGATAGACATTAAATATTGACATTAGCAATAATATACCTAAAATAATCTTTTATTTTCTATTCCTTACCCCATGTCAAGTATGAAATACAATCCTGGATTGAATTATTTAGCTAATACAATAAATAGGCACACACGCACCCTTTGCATCCATCATGTACAAATTTTCTGTAGGTAGGTACATTTTGTATAATAGATGCGATGCGTGCATGAGAAACTGCCTTTAACTCCGATGGTTATGTGTTGTTGTTATAATTATAACAATTATTATTTACTGAATTAATATAAGATGCGGCTTTTGTTGACTCATAATACATCGAGATAACTTGCCAAATCTTAAGCCGATTGGCACTTCAGATTGCTTTATTCGATCAGACATTATCGCGAATATCTGTCCAATTTAAGCTATTACACATGTAAATGGCTAGCAGCGAAATAGAGAAAGCGTCACTTGCATAGCTAAGTAGCCATATCGTTTGCTATGCAACATCTAATTAAAACTGCTATAGCGTGTGGTGTCCTACATTGGGGGGCGAACGTACGAACGATTTGATAGAGCAACATTTTACGGGGGATGAAGTCGTTCCGAGCGAACCCCTGCCACCCTTCTGCGGAAGTTCATTGAACCCATTGTGTACTTTTGGGGGCATTGATCGCATTCGATTTTTTGAGCGTACTATAGAGCTGTTTTGTTATTCTGTTTCTACTTTAACTTGGGTAAATAGATATTTATTATGTAATAGGTATTAAATTAGATGTATTTATAAAATATTTGTAGTGGGGCTGCCGCAACTTGGATTGCGTGAAAAAAATATTTTCCCATATAAACTTGCACACACATTTTCATTCCCTCTAAGGGTGATTGCTGAAATAATTACTATCTTAGGTCCCTTCACGTGACAAACTATCCCCATTAGGATTTTCAACCAAATCGTTTCATTGGTTTATTGAGTGTAAAGGACGTAAATATAGACACTTTTTCATTTAAAATAGAATTATAGGTACCTAGTATTGAATGACGTCAGTTTCTGCATGAAAGTTTGTGATATTTCGTATAATATATATGATTATGTTATAATGGTCCAAATAAAAAATTAAGAAAAAGCACGTGCAAGCACGTCTGCTACGAGGGCGTCGGTTTCGAATCCCAACCTAGAAAGGATTTTTTTTATTGAAGATATTAAGTTTTATTTTCAGATTTTATAAAGCCAAAATCTTTGTGTATATTATTTATAGCTTCACGTCATCATCAGTCTATTACATGGTCAAACAGTGCACGTAACAAAAACGTCTCTAAATGGTCCCAATTGCTGGGTTTCATACAGACCTTTCCTCTTGTTTCCTCCCCAAGCGGGGAAGCGTGTGTGAAATCCTCATGGTTACCCTACAGCTGGCTGTAGGATTATGTTAGAATAACTGACTAAAACACACCCGTGAGGGGATGCCTATGCCTTTAAGGGCATTATAGCCTTCGTCTAATGCGACGATCAACCCTAAGAAGTCACTCACTCTATGATAAATGCACTCTGATGTGCACCCGTATCGGGTTGATACTCGGACTCTCAGCATCGGGGTAGGCCTTTTCTATGGATAAATTTAATAGGGATAACGGGTGATAGAATATCATAGAGCCTATATCTATGACTGTGACCCACCACGTGGGCCTAAAACTTAGTGATTACTTTCTCATTGGCAGGACCACATGGTGCAGATCGGAAGGTAGGTGCTTGGTAAGGATAAGGAATATATGCATGTTTTTTTTTTAATATATTTTATTTAGTAGTTTACATTTCCTTTATACATTATAAAAAAATCCACATAAAAAAAAGTAAAGTGTCTATAAAATGTTAAAAATAGCTTTTGCACGGGCATCGGGCAGTTTAGAAGCGCGCTTTTATGGAACGTTTGGATGCTTAGAGCATAATATGGATGTGACGTCACGAACCATTTAAATAAACCTACAAACAAGATCAATTAGAAGCTTAGAGCATACCAGAAAACGATTTTAAATACCGTAGATACACCAACACGAACAAAATCGTGTCCGGAACCTGTCCAAAAAGTACATTGAACGATCCACGGAGCTCCATGATGATCGCGTAGTCAAAAACAATATAAAGCATTAATTAAACATTGAAAGTCACCTTTCAGATATACCTACTGTACATAAGCTCATAATTAAAACGCATGCGGCAAAGTGATAAGAAAATTTGAAATGCAAGCTCTTAAAATTTTACGAGTTATTGCTATATGCGGAAGATTATAGACCTTATTTATTTGTATCTACGCGCAATTCTGAATGGGCTCTTAGCAAATAGCATTTACGGTCCGCGAGGAAAAGAGACGGCTATATTACCGACCATGCATTTGAATATCACAAATATTTTCTATTAAATCAGTTTATAGTAAGTATTAGAACAAAATTTACTTCTACTGTCGAAAAAACGACACTTAACGGTACTTTAAGTATTGTTTTCGTAGTTTTTCACGGAGCTCTGTGGCATCTTTACTTTTCAAAATTCCGCGCGTGACTGTGAAACAAGATGTGCTTGAGTCGTGTTCAAGCACTTCTTGATTGGGACACATTTTGAGTGCACGTGGTGTATCTAGGGTATTTAATATCGTTGACACCAGATTACAAGATACTGATATTTTGCGTTCCATACCTACACAGCAGATGGAAGTCGGAACCTACGTCAATCAAATAGGCATTAAAGAAGTCTCATATATTTTTGGTTTAAACATTTACGTGTCTTAGTGAAAAGTTGCATTAGGTGACTAGCTGGAACGCGGTTTTGACATCTACGCACTAATACTAGAATAGTAGTCTATAGTAGTTTTCCAATTACAGAGCATATTGCGACTCAGTGGCGCACAATGCCGAATTATGCGGATCCTTAATTGGAACGTGAAATAGTTTTCAAATGCACCAGCAGAGCGCGCTTAGTTCAGTGTTGAAAAAAAATCATAGGGTTAGCAATAATCTCATTAAATAAAAAGTATATTCCTGTGAAATAAATTTGTTTATAGATTCGATTTCTAAAATAAAATTGTATTCACATTCTAAATGTGGAATCACGTGGAATATAAAAAAAGTCAATGTTTGTACCTTCATCCATACTTAAATATATTTTTTTAACACAGTTTGAATTATCTTTGATTATTTTAAAAAAACTATAATGAAATCGAAAGCTTTAAAAAAATGGTTGCCAGTAAAGTCGGTTTTACGGGCGAAGATTTTACGTGACAACGTCTTTTTCTCGGTAGAATATTTATTGATATGAATATAATTAAATTGCACAATAGGAACAAGGAATTGAATGAAAATAAGAATTGCACTTTAACTATAGAAATATATTTTGTTTACTAAAACTGGTGTCGATTCTAGCGTGATTCTCTAAACTTAAAACTAAATTTAACATCAGTCTTTCCTTTTCATTCTGTATAGAGAATGACAGGGATGCACTGTTGTCAAATTTAAGTTTAGCTTTAGAGAATCATGACAGAATCGACATCATTGTACATGTAAACTTAAACTTAACACGAGAGACTCATCGTAACGTTACCGAGCGTTACACTTTTTCATAAGTGACTCCCAGCCGCAACCTAATTTAAGACGTTGTCACGTCAAAAAAATGGTTGCCTGTAAAGTCGGTTTTACGGGCGAAGATTTTACGTGACAACGTCTTTTTCTCGGTAGAATATTTATTGATATGAATATAATTAAATTGCACAATAGGAACAAGGAATTGAATGAAAATAAGAATTGCACAAATTTTAACTATAGAAATATATTTTGTTTACTAAAAAAAAAAATGGTTGCCTGTAAAGTCGGTTTTACGGGCGAAGATTTTACGTGACAACGTCTTTTTCTCGGTAGAATATTTATTGATATGAATATAATTAAATTGCACAATAGGAACAAGGAATTGAATGAAAATAAGAATTGCACAAATTTTAACTATAGAAATATATTTTGTTTACTAAAACATTGTACATGTAAACTTAAACTTAACACGAGAGACTCATCGTAACGTTACCGAGCGTTACACTTTTTCATAAGTGACTCCCAGCCGCAACCTAATTTAAGACGTTGTCACGTCAACATTGTACATGTAAACTTAAACTTAACACGAGAGACTCATCGTAACGTTACCGAGCGTTACACTTTTTCATAAGTGACTCCCAGCCGCAACCTAATTTAAGACGTTGTCACGTCAAAAATGGTTGCCTGTAAAGTCGGTTTTACGGGCGAAGATTTTACGTGACAACGTCTTTTTCTCGGTAGAATATTTATTGATATGAATATAATTAAATTGCACAATAGGAACAAGGAATTGAATGAAAATAAGAATTGCACAAATTTTAACTATAGAAATATATTTTGTTTACTAAAACATTGTACATGTAAACTTAAACTTAACACGAGAGACTCATCGTAACGTTACCGAGCGTTACACTTTTTCATAAGTGACTCCCAGCCGCAACCTAATTTAAGACGTTGTCACGTCAAAATTTCAACAATAAATAATATTACTAACGATAATAAAATAAAACATTTCGATCAATGCCAACTTAAAGAAAAGTACTTGGTAATTTTTAACTGTCACTGGTTCACGCCAGAATTGGCACCACTGAGATGGTATCGATTGCACGCATCACACAAAAACATTACTTTTGAGAGTGCTCGATTGTGTGAAGCGTTGTAGTTGAAACATTCAACGTTAAGCATTATGCCGCATAATGCGCTCTAGTGCTGCAATTGGAAAACTACCTAATAATCTCGTTGACATTAGCAATCCTGTGAACATCACGTTTATAGGACTTGCGTTTCAAAATATTTGAATTTCCGCTCTCAATCTCATACTTTTTATTTTTTGTACCATATTATGAAATCTGGCTGTATGGATATATCATTTGCCTTCAATGGAAAGACTCGTAAATACTTGTACTAGAGTTTCTTAATATTTGCTTGTACATACACTTACAAAAAATAGCTTTGAATGAAATTGGCTTGTCAGCTGAGGTAATAAAGGCGGCTGTTTATGTCGAACTGTATTTTCTACTGTTGTTCACTGTCAATCTGTCAAAGTCAACTGTATAATACGACTAAATGAACAAAAAAAATGAAATGGTGGTGTATTTATTTACCTCTCACTCATCTAAATATCAAAAGAGTGAGAAGTAGATAGTTTAATGTCATTTTCAGTCCCATTCTTTGATCATCCGTATTTTACCAGAATGGAAGCATGAAAGGGAGAAAAAATATTTTGTTTGTGTCCAGTGTATAGAAATTAAGTTTTTGATAGAAATTGCGTGTGAAGTGGAATTGAAATTTGAATGATCTGAAAATCTCGAAGTTCAAAACATAAAGTTTATATTTATAGCAACGACTACGACAATACACATCACATCAGGGTATGATATAATGGAATCCCTTTCAAAGCAAGAGTTAATAGCGACAATAACTAAGCAAGCTGATCAAATAAAAAGATACGAGGGACGTCTTAGAGGTAAATGTTTATATTTAAAGTTGTAGTTTGTAACAATATGTTTCTTACACATGATGAAAGGTTTTCTACAAACAGAACAAGGTTCTTTTGGTAAACAAGCCCAAAATGCATTTTGGCCTTGTATGTATTGCAATACATGTACATGACAGAACTCTGGCTAAAAGGTTTTCAGAATTGTTGACATCATGGACTTATAAAAAAAGGACCTTTTTTTATACGTCCATGGTTGACATGTTAACTTTTGATTGAAATTCATCATCATCTGAACTGTGCATCACCTACTGCTAAGCAAGGCTGAATAATGAAATATAAATTGAGTTTATTATCTACTACAGGTGCCCTGCAGTTTAACCTGCATTTGATTTGAGAAAAACGTATTTGTTTCTTAGGTTTTCACGCACATCACTCATTAAATAAAACTAGTTTTTAATGGGTTAATGCATGAAACTTTATTTATTCATTGATGTTTCGCAGCCTTTTCAGGTCTGCATCGTCAGAATACAGGAAGAGGCTGTGAAACGTCAATAAATAAATAAAGTTTCGTGCATTAACCCGTTAAAACTAGTTTTATTTATTGAGAAAAACGGTTATAGTAGGTCACCACTTTATGGAAGCCAAATGCTGTCCCTGACTTTTTTCTGTTATATATGTTTTTTTTTTTTATCCGTTAATGCATTGCTTGCAACAGAATGGAAGCTGACAAATGAAATATTTTTTCCCATGTTTGTAACATTTTTCATTGGTGGTCTGCTCCTATTAGACATATTGTTATGTTATATAGCCTATAACTTTCCTCGATACATGCATTATTCAACACCAAATAATTTTTTCAAAACAGACCAGTAGTTCCCGAGATTATTGTGTTCAACCAAAGAAATAGTTAAACTTTTAGCTTAGTATAATTATTGAGACCACATTATCTAACAGTGTCAGATCCAAAAGTCAAATTTATCAATGTTCTTCTATTAATAACTGCTATTTTTGTTAACAGATGTTGTTGCAGCTTATAAAGGTTTGGTTAAAGAGAAGGAAGCATTGGAAATCAGTTTGAAGGCATTGAACAAGTCTGAGGTACCCAGTGAAGGAGGTAATTTATGTGTGAAACTTTTATCACATCACCTCAATTTCTTTTGTTAATTTTTATTTGAATCGTTTATAAATAATCATTTAAACTTCATTAATAGTCATTTGGTAGTTTTACCTGAAAAGTTTTCCGGGAGTTTTTAAAATTGGTAATTATATAGTTTTTAAGCCTGAGTAAGCCAAAGAGAATACAAAAGAAAACGCATAGACTAGTGAAAACAATTAGCATTGGGAAACACTCACTACTATACATAGACTACCTATACAGAGACCGCCCTATCTTCTTCCTCCTACTTCAACGAAACAAAACTTGCATAAGTGACATTTTTAATATGTTTAACAAAAGAAAACTCTTCTGCAAATTAACCTTAATTTACAAAATAATTCTATGTCTGCTCATAATTTCTTTGCTCTCTTTTTCGTTATATAGTAACACGTATAGTTTCTCCAAAAAAATATCTTGTTTCTTTTAAAACAGTTTCAGATGATTCTGTGGCGGCTCTCACTCTTTCCTTGTCCACATTGACCGCAGAGAAAGCCCGTATGGAAGAGGCTTTTCAGGCAGATAAAAAAGTCACCAGAGATAAGGTATATTATACATTAATGTCATTCCTAATGTTATTGAAGGAAAGCCTTAATGCCTAAAATTTTTGTAGGAGCATCAAAGATACAGTATACAAATTCTGGAACCTTACATTACAGAATACATGAGTGCTGCCCCTGCACCATTCTGTTAGAGTTGTGACATTTTATTACATAAATTTCTAAATTAGAGAAGCTCGATGGCGCAGGTGGTTAGCGCGTTCGGCTGCTATTGTTAAAGTTAAGCAACTTTCCCAGTGGTCGGTCATTGGATGGGTGACCAAAAATCTTCTATCTCGAGTTCCGAGGCACGTAGCTTCGGAATACACGTAAAGCCGTTGGTCCCGGCTGCATCTGCAGTCGTTAGCATCCCCCAATCCGCACTGGGCCCGCGTGGTGGGTCATGGCCCAATCTCCCTATTCCATCCATAGGGAAAGCCTGTATCCCAGCAGTGGGGGCACTAATAGGCTGATGATGATGATGATTACATAAATTTGACATGCATCGGTCTGTGTATTTTCTAAATGGCTCTAACCACATGATGGATTTCAATTTGGTTTTCATCTGCACTTTATAAACTTTTCAATGGAAAGTATACAGGGTTAATTTTATAACACCAACAACCTCTTAGGGGATGATTCTACCCATCAACAGGAACAACTTTTATTATGTGACCAACTCTGAAATCGCGAAAGATAAATCAGCTGTTGCATACATTTCAGTCTATTAAGCTGATGCACTTTTGTATGAAACGGCTGTTTTTTTTACGATAAAATCAGTTATATACAAAATGAAACTATAGACAATAATTGCCTACAATTTATGTATATACCTTTTTTTTCACAAAGTTAATAGTTTTGGCGTACGAGCGCTGCAAAGCAAAATTCCGAAGAATGTCTGTTTTCTCTGGACGAACTGATGACCAAAATTGAGGGTGATTACCCATGGGTAGAATCACCCCCTAAGAGGTTGTTGGTTTAATCCTGTATAATTCAAAACAAAAAGTCTACCTACATCGAAAAAAAACATTATTCTAAAACATAAATATCACGTTTCAGTATGAGAACATAATAGCAGCATTGAAAGAGGAAACTAAGTCATTGGTTCAGCAACATTTGGTGGAAGTGAGCAACCTCAAGGCTAAGATAGCATACGAGATACAGGAGAGAGAGAAGGAGAGGGCGAACCATTCTGCAATGTTGAAGTAAGTAGATAAACGACATACTATATATATTTATATATATATTTGACGACCTCCGTGGCCGAGTGGTTTGTACGCCGGGTTTCATGGCTGTCGCTGACTCGAGAGGTCCCGGGTTCGAATCCCGGTGGGGGCAGATGTTTGTGTGATGAATACGAGCATTTGTACTCCAGTCATGGATGTTTAATATGTATTTATATAAATATACTTATATATGTACAATATATGTATTCTATCCGTTACCCTAGCATCCCATAACACAAGCCTTATAGTGCTTACTTTGGGGCTAGGCTAATTGGTGTGAGTGTCGGAAATATTTATTTATTTATTTATTTATACTTATAAGGGGCCGTTCATTAATCACGTGATGATTTTCATTTGGCATTTTTTAACCCCCCTCCCCCTTGGTGATACATGGTGAAGTTAAAGAGGCAGGAGGGATAGCCTCCTGCACACTCATGTTACGTGTATTTTTAGTACCTACAAAGAATCTTATTTTTTTTAATATTTATATAATATAAGTATATATATATATATATCACCAGCATTTCGAACGCACCAGCACCTCACCTGATAATGTCAATGAAATAACGTAGCAACTAAGCAGTCTGTGCAATATAGTAAATGAACCTAAAAATAATATATAGGTATAAGTATTATCTAACTCTATTATGGAAAATTAAAGAGTACAACGTTTAAATTTAACCCGTTAACGTTTTAAGTTTGTGTTAACGTTTAGAGTTTAACGTTTAAAGGTACACAGAAATTATTTTTTTATAATGTGGTATTAAAAAATACTTACAACCCAAAATTTTCTCTTCTACCACCTGCCCTTATTTTTATAGCGGTACGAAGTTCGCTGGGTCAGCTAGTATTATTATAAATATGTAATTGTCTTTTCAGAGAACTCCACATTAAGTTGAACAGCGAAAGAAAGACAAAAGAAAAATTGGAGGACAAAGTTGTAAATTCAACCGAGACGCAAGGTACGTAGACTGGAGACTTTTTAATTTCATTCATTTGACAATTGTAGGTTACCTACAATGCAAAGAAATGGCGCTGCTTTGCAGCCTAAGAAATTCAAGAGAAAATTTGACACGGCCATTAGGGTCGCGGTAGCATAATGTCCAGTGCATTCGCCCGGATAGCGAAGGGTGCGGCTTCGAGTTCTGTCTGCTGCCTGAACCGCGTGGAGTTTTTCCTAGTAAAATTTTCTTTAGATTTAAACATCTAGCAGTTTAATGGTTAAAAGAAATATCACATCACCAGCCTATTAATGTCCCCACTGCTGGGGCACAGGCCTTCCTTAAGGATGGAATAGGGAGATTGGGCCATGACCCACCACGCGTGTCCAGTGCGGATTAGTGGGTGCTAACGATTGCAGATGCAGCCGGGACTAACGCTTAACGTGCCTTCCGAAGCATGGAGGATCTCGAGATAGTAATTTTTGTTCACCCATCCAATGACCGACCACTGGGAAAGTTGCTTACGTTCAACGATCGCAGTTGAACGCGCTAACCACTTGCACCGTCGAGCTCCTCGAAGAAATATCTATACATATAACAAAATGGTAGGAAAGTCAAAACACATGTACATTAAATATTTTTTTAAAAGAATACTTGGGCTGTTATCTACAATTGATACCGAAGCCAAAAATATAGTTTTTAGAATTTTTGTCCGTTTGTTTGTATGTATGTCCGGGATAAACTCAAAAAGTACTGTATGGATTTACTTCAAATTTGGTACGGATATTATTAAGAAGTCGGGTCGGCTACATATTATCGCTCTATCCCCTACGGGGAACGAGCAGTGAACCTTTATTTCTAACTAGCGGCCCGCCCTCGCTTCGGTGTAGAGCTGAAGTGTAGACTACAGTTTTTGTTCTCAGGCTTGTATTATACACAATGACATTCATCTATGATTCTTCTTATACCTTGTAACGTGTTAAAAACGTCACATGGATCTCCTTCGCTCGAAGAGCGAGATAGAAGATTTTTTTTGGTTGTCTCTCTGGTCGTTTTTTATCTCGCGCCCATTTTCTTTAATCTGTGCACTTTTGGGTAAGTGTGTTTCTGCCTTTATCGAGCAGTAGGCTGAATGGACATTGTTCTCTTTGCCTACCGCCAAGACAAACTAAGAAAAGAACTGTCACTTCACTTCACGACGAAAACTTAGACACAAAAGATGGTCTAATGTTAATCTAAATTTTTATCATGATAATCCATTGGATTTTCAATTGTTTTTAATGACGTAATATTTCACACTGTTTGCGCGGAATGGAGCCGATCTTATTCCAAGCTTAATTTAATTGAAAAACGCTAAAAGCGTTTTTTTTATATATTTGAAATTTTATTTGGAAATCGAATTCAAATCACGATGTTTCCCGTGAGGTGGAGGTGAACCCACGGGACCTAAAAACGGCCATCCCCTACATACTTGTGAAACCAGACATAATTTAACTACAAAGATGCAACAAAGTCAGTAATATTCAAATTTATAATTGTGTTTCGGCCCCCATATAAAAGGTAACATTTTCACTTACAGTCTTAGTTTAGTCTTAGTTTCAAAATTTAGCAGTAATTCTTTCGGTCCAGTAGTTTTGTAGTAAATTTAAATAAATTACAAACCCAAAATGAACATGGATTTGCATTAAACTCCTCTTGCGATTAAAAGTTCATTGCTTTCCCGGCTAATATGGTTTAATAATATGGTATGGGTCTGGCGCCCGAGTATTCTTTTTTTTTCATTAATTTCGACCTATCCGTTTAGTAAATTTCTCTCAAACTTTTTATTTTTTAACATTACAATTGACGCCAGCGCACAGGGACTTGGTTTATGCAATCCATCTCATTTTGTACCTATAATAGTAGTCTTGTCTGGTTGTTTGTAATCTTTATTATTACATTTGTGATATAATGTAGCTTTTGTACTTGAATTTTGATACATAAACATAGATTTTGTCTGTAATATAATTACAATTTAACTTAATGTTTTGGATGGTTCGTGTTAATATTAACTTTTCATTTAACTACTTGTTTTGAACTTTATTTCATATTTGAAATGTTCTATATACGTCTGTAGTGATGCATCACATGATATTTACTACTTTTGTATGTTAATTTAGTATTTTGCACATGCAAATTCCTTAGAATTTACTTCAACTCGTTAACAATTATTTGGTTTCTACCAATTGATGCATATTGCATATAACTTAAACTTTTATTACCTTGTTAACTATGATCATTGTGTTATTGTTTTGTTATTTACATTTGAATATGCAAATTTACAAAGCTTTTTGCTATATATATATATATAAAATTAGGACCTTTTGTTCGAACGTTTTGATAATTTTTAAAATGTTTAGTGAACATTATTTGAAATTTATACAAGTTTCTGAATGATAAATATAACTGTTCCACAACTTGTTTTGAGCTAGTATATACATTGTTTAAATAAAACATAAACAATAAAGTTTAACTTTTATAAATAATAACATAAACTTAAAATAATTTAACATTCTTTGAAAAAATATAACTAAATATTCTGAAATATTTTCATAACTTAATGAAGCATTGTTTATATAATAATAATAATTAACTGAGTGATAATAATATTGTAAAATAACTTTTGATGTTGTTGTAACTTAGATATTTTGACATTTTGTCACAAACTCATTTCAGTTAAGGATAATATGTTTTTATATTAATAATTTTTAAATAATTCAATTCGGTTACATAACTTAACTTAAGATTTAAATATCTTTCACCAATTGTAAACTTGCTGCATCTTGCTTTATCTTTTAAAAGATTTAACTTTAAATTTACTTTGCGTTAACTGCGTTTATAATTTCACTGCTATTTTGGCATTTTGCAAAAATGGAAGGTGACAAACTTGCATTAGCTGCTGCCTTGCCGCCTAAGGAGCAACCTGTTTCTGTTGCAACTGATACTAGTGATTTAGCTTATCCACCTGCTACACAGCACATTGCACATGAATTAATTAATTTAACAATTGATCAACCCACATTGGATGATCATAATTTTCATTCATCACGATTGCTTGATTCACAACCTGCTTTACAACCGACGACCACACATGCTTCACATGTTAGCACTAATTTGTTACAAAATAATACTTCACTTTTGGATAACTTTAAAAAACCTACATATTACAAACGTCCTGATCTTTCGAAGAGTAAGATAATTTTTGACGGTAAGTCTTGTGTTAGAGAATTTATTACTAGTGTTGAAGAGTATATGGTTTCCAGAGATATTGATGAATATTTTGTTGTTACTTCCTTTTCAGATTTTTTAACTGGCATTGCTAGGACATGGTTTCGTATTGTTCGTTCAAATCTTAATTCTTGGTATACCCTTAAGGTTGCATTACTTAAACATTTTGACAAACCTGATTATGATGATCGGCTTGAATATCTTTTGCGTTCTCGTAAACAAAAACCTACTGAAACTTTGTCAGATTTTATCATCGAGTTGCAGGATATGTCTTTGCGTCTTTCGGATCCACTTTCGGAACAAACCTTAATTAAAATTATTAGGCGTAATATGTTGCGTTCTCACGCCGTATATTTTGTTGGCAGGAACATTAGTTCTATTGACCAAATTTTTAGATTAGATAAAGAAATTAAAGAACTTGTTTCGGATAGCTCATCTGTTCAATCTGTGTCGCGTGCATCTTCTCCTAAAGTTCATTTTGTAGATTCCAAAACTGATAAAAAATTAATTTGTTTAAAATGTAAAAATTTTGGACACACTTACAAAAAATGTTTAAGCATTCCTGGTCCAATTTGTTTCAATTGTTGTAGGCATGGAGTGACTATTCACACATGTGACTGCAAAAATAAAAAAGTAGACACCAGCGAACCTTTAGCAAACAAAATTAAATTTTCTGAACCAGTTCCAAAAAACTGATTAGGCCTCATCGAGCTCCACTTCATGATGAAGCGAGAAGAGTCTCGATGGAAAATAGTCATGTTCCTGATAAATCAACTTGTAGAAAAGAATTTAATGATTGGCTAGATTATTTAAAAGTATTTTTTAGAAATATTAAAGTAGCTCCAGTACTTTTTGTTAAAAATAGAGATAATAGACCTTACCTTAAATTTAATGTTCGAAATAGTACTTTTACTGGAATTTTGGATAGTGGTGCCAACTGTTGCGTATTAGGTGCTAACAGTCACTTACAATTTTTAGAATTAGGATATAAACTTAAAACAATTTATAGAACCGCTCATACTGTTGACGGATCTTCACAAAATATTATTGGAAGTATGGACTTACCTGTGACTTGTGATGGAGATACTAAAATTATTTCATTTATGGTTATACCTTCGTTTGAACCAAATATAATCCTGGGTTTTGATTTCTGGTTAAAATTCGATTTAGCTAAAGATTTATTTAAACATATTACTTTTGTTGATGAAAGAGATGTTAACGTTTGTTCTGTTACATCTGCTGCTAACTTGTCTCCTTCTGAGAGTGAACAATTAAATAGAGTTGTTGAATTATTTAAAGATATTTCTTATGAAAAGAATGGTTTAGGCCTAACTCATTTAACTGAACATAAAATAGTTACCATTGGCGATCCTATTAAACAACGTTATTACCCTTTGAGTCCTGCTAAGCAGAGAGAGGTTTATAACGAAGTTGAATTGATGTTAAGGGAGGGAATAATACAACCTTCGAAGTCTCCTTGGAGTTCCCCTGTTTTAACTGTTCCTAAGAAGGATGGAGGCATTAGACTTTGTTTAGATTCAAGAAAATTAAATTCAGTAACTGTTAAAGATTCTTATCCTCTTCCTTATACTTCTTATATTTTAGATAACCTTAGAGGAGCTAAGTTTATTAGTGCAATTGATTTATCTAAAGCTTTTTTGCAAATTAAATTAGATCCCGCTTCGCGCGAGAAAACTGCATTTTGTATTCCCGGTAAAGGACTCTTTGAATTTGTCCGAATGCCCTTTGGTCTT